CCTATTTAATTGATTTTTTATTTTAAAAAGAATGAATTTGGAACAAGCATTATTTTCCGTTTTGAGCAGCTCCCTTTGCCAGCCCGTCCACTCTCTCATTATATTAGCCTTAACGCATACAAACTTGAAATCCTTACCGCTCTGCCTGAGAAAAATAATTTTGGTAAGAACTTCAAAAACTATGAATTGTCGGTAGCATGTAATGTTTTTATTTTTGTAATTTAAGAAGTGAGCTTAGACTGTCAGTCATTATTAAATATTCGTCATTCATTTTGTAAGTGCTAACATAACTGACAGCATTTGAAATTGCATATAATTTTTTGGGTAGTTTTATCTGGCATTAGTACTTGTTAATGAAATAATACACGGCACAACCAGCCTTACTTTTGATCCATCATACATCGTAGATAAAAATTCATACGTATTGAAGAAATTGTGTCAGTTCTTATTTATTTTTGCTCTTTATCCCTGGCCGATAGTTTAAGGTTTCTTTGAGTTTTCCTGCCGAACTGAGTTATATTACTTACCATCTATAAGAGGGCTTTTTTATTTTATAAAAATAAAACTTAATTGAAAATTTAGAAATTCATACAGTTAGTTGAACAATAGTTTTACGAGAAATGTATTTAAAATCAAACAAATTGGGATTAAAGTGAAATTGGCTGGTTTAAAATTGCGTTAAACTTCTCAAACATACTTGAACACGTTACATTTGACGCCTACAAATAGGATATCTTTGGTTAAAGTGAAAATGCAAATGAGATATACCAAAAAGAAAAATGCTTTTTACCCCTTGCTGAAATAGACTTTTCATGTTTTTTATAAATTCTTTGATTCGCTCTTCAAAATATTTATTTAACCGGAAATTCGTCATGTGATACAAACTGCTGCCAGCTTTCAATATTTCAATTAATTATTCCTTTTAAGTAAGGTCTTGGTTGAGATAAAAAAGTCAGTGTCACAAGCGGGATTCGAACCCACGAACTTCGGCTAAATACGCCGCTGCTCTACGACTTGAGCTATCGTGAATTCGATCCTCTCGGACACCAACTCTCCATCTCAACCTACAACCCTTGGTAATTTTATTTTATTTTTTTTGAATATTTTTTACGGATAAATATTTTAATGTTAAAATAATAAAAATAAATGATGAGTTGTTTTATTTTTTCTTGGAGATTTTCATGTTTATGTTGTCAACGTTGGCCGGCATGTAGGGGGGTTCTGTGTCTGCGCTGAATCGATTGGAAGAAGCGAGGAAGAAGCAGTTGAAGCATCTCGTGACCCATGTGTCAGCACGAATTTTCGGCGGCTTGTTTAAAGATTCGCTTTCCGATGTGGTTGTCGAATTGTTATTTTCCATTTAAAATTTTGTCCCAACAATTCAATTGAAAAAGTATATTTCTGCATTTTATTTAACATGTGATTTTCACACTGATTTCATTCTTGTTTTAGAGGTTTTTCAGTCAATTACAACACCGGGTTAATGTTGAATTTAGAAAAAATCGGTTCAACTTTACGGTGACTATTAATACGCCGTAATTATAACAATTTCCTTCATTTCTTCCGTGCAGAAAAGTGAACGTACTTAAAGGGATTGCATGTCAGGAGGAGAGCCGCAGAAAATAAATAGCTAATAAATTACCCTTTCAGTGAAAACGCCTGAAAAATCTGAGTTTGGATTTTCGAAAGGGAAAATCACCGAAAATAACTAAACAAAGACAATCAAAACTTTACGAATGCCTTGCGATTTATCTTTCCCGGTATCATAATACGAGACAGGGAAAGTAACGGATGCTGAAAATGTGTCATCGGGGCTACGGTAGACGACGTGCTCGCGCTATTTTCCACACAGGGCCGCTTCATCATCTTCCGCCTGGGAAAAATGCTACTGCTACTCTCATAAACCTGTCCGGTCTCTCATCTAACACGTTCTACATCAATGGATAAATTTATTTCCTGAGAGTTATGTCGCAATTGCCTTACTGTAACTCTTTTGAAATAAATTCACTCCGAAACATTTCATTACCTAAACTATGTTTAATATATGTATACTCTTTATTAAATAATTATAAACAATACAATATATTAAATAAATATAAAAATTCATAGTTGCTATACAAAAATAAAAAATATTTTTTTATTATCTGAATTATGGTAGTGAATTTATAGTACAAAAATATAAGAATATTGTTCAAAAAAAAGAAAACAATCAGCGATTTGGGACTTACAAGTTTTAGTTAAATGAAATTTATTAAATCATTACAAATTTACTGGTCAATAAATAAATAAAACAATAAATATAATTTCAATTAATTAATCATTATGTAAGGTATTGGTTAAAATGAAAAAGCTAGTGTCATGAGCAAGATTCGAACCCACGACCTTCGGCTCAATATGCCGCTGCTCTAACCACTTGAGCTATCGGGACGTCGATCCACTGGCCACCAACTTCCCATCTCAATCTCACCTTTTGAATTTTCCCTCCATTTTTCAAATGTGTAATTTATTTGATTCTCGGCGACAAACGAAACGGCCACAGAGAACTTTAATGAAGATATACTTCGTTTTACTTATTAAATCCATTATATTTCGTGGTCCGATTGACCACATAACTCCTTTCAATTAATTTTTTTTTTCATATAAAGTATTGGTTGAAATGAAAAAGCTAGTGTCTCGAGAGGGATTCGAACCCACGACCTACGGCTAAATACGCCGCTGTTCTACCACTTGATCTATCGTGACTTCGATCCACTCGGACAACAACTTCCCATCTCAACTCACCTTTCGAATTTTCCCTCCTTTTTGCCATTTTTCAAATGTGTTATCATATAAGCATCTAATATCAACACTTTTTTGTATATCTATTCTTCAGACCTCTCGCCTACCGAATTGATCTTAATGGTGGTCAAGTGATAGACCAGCGGCGTATCAAGCCGAAGATCGTGGGTTCGAATCCCTCTCGTGCCATTGACTTTTTTATCTCAACTAAAAACCTTAATTAATTGGTTAATATTAATTGGTCAAGCAGACCACGAAACTAGTGAACTGAATTGATCTTATGAGGCAACTAGGTTTTAAACGTTTAATGTTATACTTACAGTCCACTTCCAGTTGTAATGTCTGTAATACTGTTCCTTACCTGAAAAAAAAAGAAACGTCTTATTAAATATTTATACCCTTAATCAGTTTTGGCAATAATCATCAACGACAGGATAAAATCCGTAGTTAATTGTGTTCGGATTTCGTGTTCTGCAATCCGGCCGTTACCCATCATTTTGGTCTATCCATCTTCGCTGGGCTTGACTGTCAGAAGTGTTTAGGGATTTCATCATATTCAGTTTGTCTGTGTAATTTTGTTAACTGAAGTCTCTTTACATAAGATTTTAGGGAGTGTGTTTGTTGTTTAGTTATTTTTATATTAAAACACGCGTAATTTCGCCCAAACTATTGAAAACAGGTAAAATATCAGCAGTGAAGATTTTTTTTTTACAGTCGTTGTTAGTGATGGTCAGTGTTCTTTTTGATTTTGTCAGTTCTTATTGCTCGTTTTTCTACCTGCTGGATTTGATTACATTTATTTATTTAAACTTAACCAAACATTAAATAGTTTATTTTTGTCTACGAATTTCCGAGCTAAGTCAAGTAGGCCAGTTTTTCGTTAGTAGTTTTCAGAACGTTTTGTGGTAGTGGTGTTTTAATGCCTAAAGTGTTAAATATAATCGTTAGTATCTTTTTTTATCTATTTATGTTAATGTGGTCCACAAAGTGTGTATTTTAATATTCTGTGGCGGGTGTTTTGTTGTTGTGATTTTCTTATTTTGTGGAACGCGTTTTTTGTTGAAGCAGTCATTGTGAGCTAAGGTTTTTACTTCTTTCCCTTCGCGAGTGTATTGCTATTTTAAAGACGCCGAAGTACACTACCCATGACTTAATAGAAATAGACTTGGCCTCAAAGAAATGACCCATACCTACTGAAGAAAGCGAGAAGCCGAAAGGCGACCGAGAGACTAATGCTGAGATTGGACAGGCAAAATCGGTAACGAAAAAATTACAGGTTCATCACACTACAAACCACACACACACGCGCGCGCGCGTTCATTAAACTGTTACAATCGTGAATTAATTAAATTTCATGTGCAGGTTATATAATCAATTTTTAAATATGCAGTCTGACACGGGTTTATTTTTTAATTTATTAACTATTATGGCTACATACATAAATATATATTAAATTTGATTAAATTGTTGATTAATTCAACAACAATACAGATATTATTATACAATAACGAAGATTATTCAACCGATCAGAAAATTCATCAGCAGACATAATCACACAATTAATGTTTACAATTAATCAACAAACGTAAGTATTTGTTGATTAAATATCTAAACCAATGAAATATTGACTTGAAATGTTTTATTAATTAAAGCCTTCGGCATTTTTAAATACTGCAAACTGACTGTTCCAATTCCTGTTCTTTTTATTAGGCAGTGCCGAAGGGTTGTTTGGAAAAGATCCGCTTTGGTTGGTTGATTCAGAAAGATTATATGGCCATCTGAAGATTGGATCGAGTGGGGACTTGTCCAATTCCGACGGTCCCTGAACTATATCCCTGTGTCGAACTATTGCCGGTGAATTCCTTTCTGTTAGATTTTGTTTTCAGATAGACATCGTTACAAATGATGTCTAGGATAAACCAACAATTTCCACTGTTTTCAGATCGGCCCTATTGATTTATTTAACTTATCGATGCTCTTGCAAAAACTATATTGATGATTGGGTTCATTGCCAATCGCACACCTTCAACACGCCTATACAAAATACTTTATAGATTTATGAATAGAAATATTGATAATTTATTCTCAAAAGAGGTAAAAGGGTAAAAAGAATAAAAATATTTACTTTCATTTTTTATAATTTTTTACATTTGTAAAATAATTTCAATATTAGAAAACAGTCGGTAAGGAAAACGCACAAATTTGACAACCATGTGAGGATAGCTAACCTAATGTGTAATCTCATGTTGTACAAAAAAAAATTATAATAAAAAACTACACTTTTTATCACAGTTTTCAATTTTTTCGTCAATCGAAGTTACGGACGAAGGAGGGGTTATCTAAGATTGTAGTGGAGTTGATCTGATGAACCATGACAGTGGGATGTGCAGAAAGTGATGATGGAATGTTTTGTAATTGGTTTTCAATATTCCTGAAAAAAAGGGAGGTTTGATATATGAAAAGGAAGATTAACAAATATTCTTTGAGAATTTGATTGGATCACCAAATAGACTTGAAAATCGTGAAGACGTGAAAAAGCTGGAAAGAGTAAGATGGTTCTGCACTAGATGGAAATGAAAATTGACTCTTCCAAAACCAGTTGTATGCTATTCACTAAGCGTAGGCCCCTGCTCTCCCACAATATATTACTCAAGGGGAAGTCGGTTAAGTGGTTAAGAACTGTGAGGTATCTAGGGATCACTCTTGATACCAAATTGAATTTTGGTGCACACACAAGAAATCTTGTAGTCAACCGGAAGCGGCTATACGAACACTTTTCCCATTGCTCAGAAAGGAGTCTGGCATGAGCCATGTCCAGCATGGAATTTTACCTGTAAAACAAATCTCAATAAATTACAGGTAATTCAAAATAAATTTCTGCGGCTAGTCACTGCCTCTCCTAGATATTATAAATTGACAGACCTAACGAGCGAGCTAACATGGGTAGAGGAGGAAATTCACGATGAGGTCTGCAAATTCTTTCGGCGTATGAGTTCTCCTCAAATCCCATTTGCAGATCCATAGGTGGATAAATGAATTAATACAATGATGTACGTAATATAGAAAGTTTAAGTTTATTCAAAGTACTTGTACTCACTCAAAGTGTGTGTTTTCTGTGTAGATGTGTCACGTTTTTGTCGTGTTAGTATTATTAAGTTATAAATGTTTTTTTGTTTATATGTTTGATTTTGAAGTGGGGAAGGAAGTAAGGATAGAAACCATTTTTCTATGACGAGGCGGCTTCTGTGAGGTAAAAGGGGCCAACAATGGGAAAAAAAGGGTAGTGGTTTGTCGTTCCAGCTTAGTTTTCGTTTCAGGATTATTACAAACGGGATTTCAGAGAAAAGAAGGATACATTTTTGGGGATTTCGACTATGTAGAAATTGTTTGATGTGTGTAGTGTAATGATTATTTTTTATGGTGTATTATATATTTTATGTACTATTTATATCGAATTTAATTTATGATATTAGCGTAGCTGCGGCTGAGTTTACATGTGTTCTAATTAATGCTGTTTTTATTTCAGTTTATATCAAACATTTCTAAAAAGTTACGTTTATTTTTGTTTTGTTCTGTGATTAATATTTTTGGAATGTTAAATTCGAAATAGTCTCTGTTTTCAAAATGGTTGGTTGCCAGTGCTGTCGGATTTTGTCTAGGTTTTTTGCAATCATAAATATGTTGTTTTTACACTCTTATCTAGATATTGGGATGTAATTCCGATATATGTTGATGTACAATTTATACAATTGATTTTGCAAATTATATCAGACTTATTTATTACAGATATGTGATCTTTAATTTTGGAAAAAAGGGGGTAAAATATTTTTATAATTTTTCCAATAATAAATAAATTTTGTAATGTTTTTCTAAATAATATTGTTTGGTTAAAAGAATGAGATATGTTTAACAATTTTTGAATATTTTCTTTTAGTGTTTTCTTAAGGGTTAATTTGTTACACTACTCGATAACTGGTGAATTGAGCAGATGAGCTAACATTCCAGCTGTCATGACGTTGAGTGCCAGTGGAGCGGAGTGCAATAAGGATTGGGGAGGGCCATACGAGCAATAAGGGCGAACATGAACTCTCCCAGAGGGGATTGTACCTGCCTCGAGTGCAGTTCTGTTTTCAAAATTGCTGAAAAACCTTTACGTTCAAAAGGGGGCGGATTAATTGGAACAATTCCACGGGGCTCGGGCTCCACACCTGCGGAGGTGGATGTTCAAAAACAGGCACGTTAAACAAATAACGATTTTGTAAACACAACATCAAAGCGGTCTGGGAAAATAAAAATGGATTTCCATTAGAAGAGTAAGCGTGTAAATAGTTGTTTCAATGGCACTAACAGAAAAAACAACACTACAGGGCAAACATTTGCTCTCGGCAGGTGTACAAGTTTGTGTATCCTTTTATAATCCTTTTGTTATTATTGTGTTTAAAGACCTACAATAGATATGGCACAAAAGCAATCTGGTAAACTAACTTTCTTGCCGGTATTGTCGAATAATATTTATTATTTAATAAACATGTTTTCATTGATTTACAACAATACAAAATTGTCTCCCCAGAGCCTTTTGAAAACGGTTTCCCTAAAAAAATATAAAAACTTAATTCAGTCATTTAAATATTCCGAAAACGAATTCGTCAACTACAATCATAAAGTCGTTTCCTGCGGGTCTTGCAAATAAGAAATCGTCAATAAATTTCTGACGGGATGTTTTATGAAACCTTTGATGCCTTGGTAGCAATTAGGTTGAACAGGATGGCATGGGGCGGTGTAATGAACGTGATCGACTCCTTCGTCTTTGATACCGAGTTGATGCTCGAGGAAAATCGATTTATACGAATCGCATCTAAATTTCAATGAAGCGTCGTAACCGCGATGATCAACATAATGCGGCTATAATAATAAATTACTCCCATCTCTCGAAGTTACTTGTGTGAGGAGGCTCAGATCAATTTTGTGACCTTACCTAACAATAATTTTTGATTCTCTTGACAATTTTCAATAAGCAAAACCAATGATATAAGTAAATTTTAAGTTAAAAGTGCTTTCTAAGTTTATAATCGTAGACAAATTCAGAATATGTCATTGTTGTGAAGTCAATACCTTTGCTATCTTTGAGGCAAATTCAGTGAATCATCATTCCAAACATTTGAATTTGGAACAAATCTAAATCTTATATCAAACAAAATTAAATTGCAATTAATCTTTATTTTTATTCGTTTAAACGTTTTTCTATCCAGATTTATAGAAAATGTTTTTGCCGTTTCTGTATATTCTTAAGTTCATCGCATTTTAAGAAAAATAATTATCATTTCAACCACTTGCATCAAGGATTTCCTGGTTTACAAATGTACAAAGCATAACAAACCAAAAAATCATAAACGTAAAACAGTATGCACTTCAGCTATAAACGTTAAACATCGAAAAGTGAATAAACCAGGAAATTAAATCAAAATTAAAAAAACAGGTTCAAATTGCCTTCTGCTTTTATAAGCACAAATGCCCTTATTTTATTATTTGTCTGATAAAGCTCGTTTTATTTTCTTGTAAATTTTCATACGCGTTATTTTTAAAGTAACTCCAAAGAAACATTTCCAATGGAAGTAAAACAGATGAACGTTACGGCCAAAAAACAAGACCGAAGGAACATTTTAATAACTCGGAATTGTGAGCGGACATTCATAGAGCTGGAACTACATAGAACCATGCGTTACAAGAGGAATTTTTTCAAAAATTTTTCTAAACGAGATGAACCGTTCACGATTTAAGTTTTCATCACAAATGTATAGTCCTATGGACATAATGACAGTCTGAAAATGCTAAAGCTTGTCTGTGAGAAAGGAACGAACCAAAAATACTGAAGTACAGTATTATTTGACAAAATTGTTTCTCGGAAAATCCTTGATTAATTTCTATGAAATAAAATTTATTTATAATACAAAACGACTATGTTAAGATAATCCAGGAAAAACAAAGGCTTCTGTTTGAACTAAGTTAGTTGTGATCCTATGTATACAGGGTGTTCAACTACTCGTGTTACAAACTTTGCCAGTAGATTCTACATTCAAAATGGAACCAAAATGTCTTAATTATGCTCTGTATCTCAACAGTTTCGGGGTTATTTCATTTTTTTTCTGATTTTTGAAGATTTCACGACCTTGCTTCAAATAAACAATGATAACTTCAAAACTAAACGGTTTTGGACAAATCCGTTGATACCATTGAAAAGTATGTTAAATCATGAATAAGATGTGATCAATATTAAATTCGTAAACGTTAGTGAAATAAGTTAAATAATTTCATTCAAAATTCTCTTAAGTATTTTTCTTTTCCACCTTACCAATCCTTCATCCACAGTTCTGTCCTTCCTTTTCACAATTTCTTCATCTTTAAAAAAGTAATTAAAAAAGCAATTGCACCACTAAAACGATATTAAATGGAGTACGTTTTCTGAAAATTGGTAGTCTCTAGATTTTGGAAAAGTAGTTTAAAAACACCATAGTACATGTTTCAACTTTTAAAATTTTTTTCAAAGTTCTCGCTATTGAAACGCTTATTTCACTAATATTTACTAGTTTAGTATTTTTCACATCTTATTTTAACGTACTTTTCAATGGTTTCAACGGATTTGTCTAAAACCTTTTAGTTTTGGAGTTAGCATTGTTTATTTGAAGCAAGGTCGTGAAATCTTAAGAAAGCAGAAAAAGTGAAATAACACCGAAACTGTTGATGTTCGGACAATAGTTAATTAGGACCTTTTGGTTCTATTTGGAATGTAGTATCTACTGGCGAAGTTCGTAACACGAGTAGCCGAACACCCTGTATATCCGGTAGGAAAACGGTTTTCCAATTTTTCTTAAAAAAGGATTTTACAATTCAACTCTTTTGATATATTGCATTGTTTACAATAAAAGTGTATGACAATTATGGCACCGAACATCCAGTAGAAAAGAATATGAATGAAAAATTAAACCTATTATAAGAATATTTAATAAATTGAGGAATAATAATAAAAAGCCAAATTATAATATAGAAAAAGTTTGATCATTGAAGAATGATGGAACTTGAATATTGAACTGAAAATAAAAAAAGGGTTTACAATATCATTTGAAGGAGCCCAACAAAAAAATATTATACATATTCCGGCGTGATAGCCTTCTTTGGGTCGGCATCAAATGTGAACGACTCCATCGGAATTCGCCAAACCATAGGAATAGGAATCTCTGTTTCTGCCGGATGAATTATTTATTCGGAAGGATTTTACAGCTCTTGCTCTTCTGAGCCAACCGCTCGCATACATATTTCAGACCGTTCCAGAGAGAAAGACCAATAGGTGGGGAATTTTTAACTCGCCGTAATTTATTATTGAACAGACTGTAGGCAAATTTCTTTAAGCATAATGCCTCCGGGAGCAAAAGCAATCGGGTTTATTTCCATGAGCTGTAGCTCTTGTTCTTTACGATGCAGCTAGCAATGCGTTTCCACCGTACAGTTATGGCTATGCTTCCGTTCTTATCGTAAAATTTTACCGCCATTGTCTTCCCCTCACAACATTACATTCCATAAATGCGCATGCAAGACTGCTGTTTTTTACTGCTTACAACTGTGCCGAATTGTAAAAGTGCCTTTGAACTTCTTTTATCACATAACGACCATGAACCACGTAAACGTTCAATAAGCTATCGGAAAATTTCTAAAAATGGTTAACTGTAATCGTTTCTACCCCTGGTTGTAACATACGTGTAACAAATTGGTGAAAAAGGGTCCTAAAGGATGAAAAAGCCCAACAGGGGAGAAAAGTGACAATGGATAATTGGTACAAGGGTTGCTGAGAATTGGGATGAGGTAAATATTTGTGCCAGGCGGGCGGTGAACGGCATTGAGATAAGGGGGACCATCCCCGGGGTATAAGGATCATCTCCCTCCTCCCTCGGAATCCTTCGTTTAACAGCCACTATATCACTCTTGGACCAGTGCATGGTCCGAGGGAGATTCCGAGTGGGCGCGTAAAACCTGTCAAATTTACCGCCTGGAAAATTACCAATTTTGTAGATGAAGACGATCAAAAAGACCTTGAATATTGTCCCGTTTTTAGCCTAGT